GCATACACAAGTATTTCTTTTTGTGTTGCAACTAATAACTGTAGATGCTGTTAAAGAAGGGAACAATTGTGGTAGTATTTTTTTCGTTTCATCGGGTTTTGAATTACAACGATTTTAAAATTTATTTCTATTTTCGTTGTTTTATTTTATAATAATAAAAATGTTTTTTTAAATTTATTAGCTGACCCGGCAAACGTTGTTTTGCCATGTAAATAATTTCTAGAGAATTTCTAGTGTAGAAAAAAAATAACTAACTTATTGGAAGTGTGTAAGAATGTGGTATATGAATGAAAAAGGCATGGAACGCTGTGAACGATGAGGCAATATAAAAATAACAAAACACCAAACATTAATTTTTTTAATTTATTATAATTTATTTTAAGTAATAATTATTTATATCATTAATTCATTACATAATATTAATCTCTTAATGCTACAGCGTGAACAATACTTTTTGTTAGCCCGTCTTTAGCTAATACAAACAAACTTGATGGTTTACCCACTCGAGAGCATGCAACGTATAATTGTCCGTGTGAAAAACATGGTGTGCTCAAATCTAAGCCACAAACAGACATTGTTTGGCCTTGGGATTTATTAATAGTCATTGCAAATGCCAATCTAATCGGAAATTGAATACGCTTAAATTGAATTGGCACATCTGTGGGTATAATAGGTATTCGTGGTATTAATATATTTTCACCTCGAAACTTGCCAGTTAAAATGGTGGCTTCGATAACGTTTTTCATTAATTTTTTAATGACTAATCGCGTATTGTTGCACAGCCGTAGCGGGTTCAAATTACGAAGCAAAATAATTGGAGATCCAACCTTCAATAGCAATTTATGCGGTGGCATGCCTGGCAAATCCAGTGAGTTCAAAAACTCGGTTGGAAAATTTAAAGCTTCATTGGCATCGCAAACTGTATCAATAGATTTATATGATACCAAGTCCCCTGGCAATAACTGTTGTATCTTCAAATTCAAAATGTCAACGTCCACATTTTTGCCGCTAAAATTGCTCTTTCTGCAAGCCACTCAAGATTTATGTAATTTGTGTGTACATCGGGAAATATTTGTTCAATGAGTTTGAGCACTGATTGTGCAGAAATCAGTCGGTAATTTTACGCATCCAGTTTCATTTATAGTGACTTTTCCATCGCCGATATCTAAGAGTTGTTTTGAGAATGTTTCAGCGGATGGATCTTGAAGCATTTGAACGCGCATATTTACTTTCAGCTGTACTTTTTCAACATTACGCCACAATGGCGATGATTTTAAGCAGGCGTTGATTTCATCAGCGTATGTTGAACGTGTAATGACGGGAAGTGTTTGTCTGAAGTCACCTGACAGGACTAACAGAGTGCCACCAGTTTGTCGTTCTTTTTAATATCTTTCAATGTCCTGTTCAACGCCTCAAGCGAATGTTTGTGTGCCATGGTACATTCATCCCAGATGATAATTTTACACTTTTTCAGCACTGCGGCTATGGACGATTGTTTTTTTATGTTACACACTGCGTCAAGGTTATTTTGAATATTTAGTGGTAGCTTAAATACTGAATGAGCTGTTCTGTCTCCATCCAATAAAGTTGCCACAATGCCCGATGATGCAACGGCCAATGCGATGCCATTATTTGATCATATTTCGGCGAGAATTTGCAAAATAAGGAATGTCTTCTAAAAAGAAGAACCCACCTTGTCCTGCTGAAACTGCGAGCATAATGCGGTCGTAAATGGTTCTTTGTTCCTCATTCATTGGTGAGACATCGCGAGTAACAATCTCCGCCATTTCTACAGTATTGTACTGCAGTTCATGATTGACAACGATTTACACGATTGTTCAATGGTTCCGGTGGTGTTTCAATTTCAGGTAGTTGCACCTTCCCTGACGCGCAACACATCCCGGCTGGTTCATTTTTGAATTTCAAAGCATGACAATACGGGAATTCTTTGTCCATAGCACCAATTACCACTTTTGAATGAGCATAATATTTAATATCGGGCTCATACTGGAATGCTAGACGCAGGAATGATTTAGCTACAAATGCTCGATGTGCCTGTTGGCGTTGTTGGTCATTTGCTCTGCGTCTATTGACAGTAAAACGGTGTGATTGTCGKTGTTCTAATCTCATGACTTCATTGCGTTCAGCTCGTGTATCGTCTAATTGTTCTTGACGCAATTGCGCCATTCTCACACGCGCTCCAGTATTTTCTTCTTGAACTTGTTCTTCGGTTCTTTGGGCTCTTCTATTTCGAATGCTTCTAGATTTATTTGTATCACGGCTCAAATTGGCCCCTTTGCGTTTTGTTGGCATTGTTCACTGTACAATACAAAACACACATAAATTGAACTGATTGAATTATTTAATGATGAAAATTATTATATTAATAATTTATTTTATCTTTGATTACATTAAATATACATGTAAAAATTAGATAGTTTCACGAAAGCGAAAAATTTTATTTTTCTTAATTATATCGAAAATACATATTGTTAGAAATAGTGAAAAAAAAAATTCTGTAGAAGTGAGCTCCTTAAGTAAACTGAGCTCTTATAAGTAAACACAAAAAACAATTTCCCAATTGTAATACAAATCTAACTTTCACCGAATTCGTTTTTCACCATTCCCAACAATATTTTTGTTATAAATAAAGAATTTTTGATTTTATAATAAACGTATGAAAATAATTTATACTTACAACTCAATAGCCGTTGCTTGCGGGAACTCGTGACACGTGTTGACTATTTTAGAGGTTATGTAAATCACTTAATTAACTGATCGTGCGAATTACACTCAAAATTAATAATTTTATTAGTTATTAATAATTAATTATATTCAATAATATTAGTTATTAATAAATAAATAATAAAGTTACTTATGAATATATTTGATATGAGAGTTATACTGAGATAGTAAAAATGTTTAACTACTACGCTTGACGCATAAACACTAATAATAGCCGAAAACTTTAGAGGGAGTGAGAGAAGGCTTATAGTTTGAGAGAAATAGAAGACCATCTTCGTTGTCATCCCTACTCCGTGCTGTTTACTGGGTGAGAAGTAACACCGATAGACACATGGAGGGGATAACTTACCAAGTGATAATAAATGATGTAATCAAGCGGGATGAAAAATGATAAAATTATTAAAATGACTATTAAAAGGCAGGAGTTGGTGATAGAAGAGTGAACATTTAGTGTTGTATATATTTTTTTATGCCACATAATAAAAAAATAAAAAGAAAAAATTTTATCCAAAAAAAAAAAAAAAATTCTTAAGGTGGATACCCCTTATCACTGAGGGGTTTAAAAAATAGATAGTAGCCGATTCTCAAACTTGCTGAATATGCATAAAAAATTTTATAAGGATCGATCAAGCCGTTTCGGAGAAGTATGGGAACGAACATTGTGACACGAGAATTTTATATATTAGATTTTCCATATTTTTTTTTCTATATTTGTAAAATAAGTTATATTATTTTATTCTCATTAGAAATATAAAGTAAATAAGGTTTATTTGTTTTTGTCACGTATCTAGTTTCTTCTATTTAAAAACTTTTCTATTTTATTGAAAAATTAGTATAAATTTCCTAAATGCGCAAACATTATAATTAAAAAACATGTCTTTGGATATTTATAAGAATAATATTCTACAATGTAATTTAATTTTTTTTCTCTAATGTATCTGATAATAATTTCATTTTTTTGTAAAATATTGCAGACAATACAATTACATACAATACAAAATATTCTACATATTTCATAATTGTTAAAAACATTTTTAAATAGAAAAGAAATGACACATTTGGTAAAAATAAACAAACCACGCACCTTCTTTCTTTATTTGGACCGTCGGTTCGTTTGGACCTTATACTTTTGTCGCATACTTACATGCTCATCTCTGTTTATTCTTCTACCCTTCTATCGCTTCTACCTACAAACAGGTATAGTATCGAAATAATATGTGTTCACACTTTGTAGTATGCAGTCGCATACAAACACATACATATACATCCAAGAGCGATAACTACGAAGCATATAAAGAGGAAACTGAGAATAGGAAAAACTGTATAACTTCATTCCGTCTCATCCTCTCGCAGGCTAAATCCTATATGTTTGTCTCTTTTTCTCTCGTTATTTGGTATAGCAGCCGTTTCATAGCTCCGTTTCCGTTTATTTACTTTTCAGATCACTCTCATTCTAAAGAAGTTTTCACTTCAAAAAAAAGGATTACCAGATACATCAGAGATAAAGAATTAGAGAATACTGTGGAATAAATGAGGAGCAGCTGACAAATTCCATTCAACAGCAAGTAAATTACTGTCACATTTTTATATTTTGCTTCTTTATAAAATATATTTGATGCATAAAGACAAAATATGTCTATTAAATTTGATTTTTATATGTTTATATGAAAAATATCCAAAGAGATGTACTGACCCATGCATATATGAAAATTATATTATAAATTGTGATATTTGCGTATTTAGGAAACCTATACTAATTTTTCAATAAAATAAAAACATTTTTAAGATGTTGAACGCCTAGGGTGAATCGGTGAAGCTTACCACGGAGCTGAAATTTGAGACTTGTAGTGTACACAGTTCGATAAGCTGAGAGAGCGATACGATTCAATGCATTTTTTAGATTTTTCGTTGTTCAGATCTTTATTTAGA